GGCAGAGAGTCCTGTGGTGGGACGGCTGCGTACGTCGCCCGAACCTCTTGCCCTTCGCCCTAAACGTGCTGCTGCTGCGTGTGCCCCCATCGCCGCCCTCCTCTCACCGAATCGCATCCAGTCGTAGTCGCTCAGGCAGTCCATCTTCTGGCAGAAATCCTCCAGCACCCAGGCAGGCATGCTGTGAACGTACAGAGCCGGGGGGGAGCCCCCTTTCAGGGCCAGGGGCGGCTGCTGCAGGGTCATTGCTTCGCAGTCCCTCTCCAGAGAGTCCTTTGTCCCCACGGTGGCCATCAGCAGCGGCTGCGCATGGTGCACGCCTAGGGCAGGGACTACAGCTACAGGCAGTGACGCTCACCAGTCTGTGTGCTGTGGAGGGTTGAATTGCTCGAAAAACTTCCTCTTCTCAAAGGGGCTGGCCTTGACAGGCTGTCCCCACCCCGGCCCGACTTGCTTTTTGCTGGGGGAAGAGCCGAGTGACACAGGCAATCGTTTCTGGGCAGGGTCAGACCACATTCCACTGCTTCCTGCTCCGGCTGACGTCAGGCCCGGGCCCCAAATGCAAATCAGATTTTCCTTTCCATGAGCGCTTACTGCTCCAGCCTGGTTGCCAAATTGTAAGTTTCGTGTGATGGAGGTGAAAGATGCCTTCCTGCGCGTCACGTGCGGCTGGTATTGCCGACAGGCTGTGCAACGGCTGCTCGCAGAGAAAGTGAGGTGTGTGTAGGCCAGGAGCGGTGCCCGGCAGAGCCGGCTGGCCCACGAACAGTGAATTTCTTACGCACACTATGGCAAGGAAAAGCTGAAAAATGTGATATTAATGTAGCTACAAGGTCAAAAACCAGAAAAAAACCCAAACAAAAATATGCAAAGTGTATTATTATTTAAAATATCACAACTGAAAGACTTCCTTGGGACCTAACTGTTTTAGCAGTAGCGCTGTCTCAACAATAACAGTTAAATTTATGGGGTTTTTCCTCTCCCTTTTCCCTGCCTACTGTCCCTCTGACACATACCTAAACTCTGTAGTGGAAAGATGGCCAGAGCATCTCTGAAAGTCAGGTCAGATGGGACTGGAATTTGTGTTGCAAAGAATTGTATAAAAGCAGGAAGAAAGGACACTTCTTTCCCTTGGGTACTGGAAAAAAACATGTGAAACCTTTTGTACTATTTGCCTCATGGGAAAACGAAGGGAAAGAACGCATATAACTGTACATACAGCTTCAGTTTCGCACTAAACATTATATGTAATAAAAGGTTTTACAAGGGAACTGAAATTTACTTTTTCAAATGGAGACTAGAGTGATGCTATATATTCCTGTCGTTTGGCCTTCACTTCCAACGATGAGGTATGAGGCAAGACCCTGCACTGCTGCGTGCTCTCCTGGAGCCCTCGGATGCTGCACCAATGTCAGAACAATTGGTTATTTCTCTGTCTTTGTCGCCTTTGCTGTGACCCGCCACTTCCTGCAGCAGCGCCTTCCCACCGCACCGCACCCTGCAGCTGGGCCCAGCCGGAGCTTTCGGTCTGGCCCTGGCCCCTCTCGCTCTCAGTGTACTGCTGCTCCCGTGACTGCCGAACGAGACCGTCCTATGGCTCCGACTGAAAACTACCCAAATTTTTAATGTAGTTGTCACAAGTAAATGACGGCTTTCGCTCCTTACTAACCTAGCTGAGTAACTAGTGGGAGGCTCCACTTCCCAATGTTCACGTCTTAGAGCCAGCCGGGGTTTTCTCCGGTCTTTTTTTATTCTGATCCAAAGGAGCACTCCAGAACAGGAGAAATGGTACACTTTCTTGTGTATGCTGAGCATTTCTCCAGAAGTTTACCTATCTGTAACATCTGGCTTTATTGTTTATTTTTTAAACATATTTTATCAACAGGAGTTCTTTAATGACCAAAAATTTCTGGTACCGCGTTTATGCACCTGCTGTAACAACTATAACCGAACAGGCTATTATGTCAATTGCTTCCTTACATCTGTGGCTGCCTTGCACTTTGAGTAAATAGTTGAGCCATGGGTTTGGCTGAAGACCAAAGGATACCACAAATATTATGAGCTATTGCATTTCAACAACAAACAATATGTAATCAAATTGGGTTTATGCTAGAATACCTCTAAGTTAAACCCCCCCCAAGATACACAGCTGGGCTGAAGTTATCACTAAACAAGTCTGTGGTAGGGTCTTGCGAGCATTTGATAATTTGACTCTTACGATGAGCCCAGCTAAATGAAGGTGTTGTTTAACAGGCTCACAATCACTGCCAGGTTGGTTAAAAAGACAAGACAGAGCCAGCAAGAGCTGTAGCGGAACTGTCAGACTCTGGCGAGAGGATCAAATGTAACATCAGGTGTGACTCGGTGGACTGTAAAAACAACACCTGGTCAGCTACTTGCGAGAGATGTTTTTAAGTGCTTCTCATCACAGAGAGGAAGTCGCTACATTTTTAAACCTGATGTGTGAAAAAAAAAAAAAAAGGTATTTCATGATTTGTCAACAGGAAAATCAACACTTAGATGGTATGCGAGAGCTAAATTAGTTAAGCAGTTACAGAATTTGTATCACAAGATGTATTGCAAGAAAACAGCTGTGGGAGGAACAGGGGAGGCAGCTGCAAGAACAGGGTTCTGCACCAGACTTTGTGTTCAGTCCCTTCTTCTCCCAGACTCCTTGCATAACTTGGGAAAACTCAATTTCATCTGCAAAATGGAAGTAGAATTTCCTTTGTTATCTTGTCTAGGGCAAGTATACAACTTCAAGCACGAAATCCCTCTTGCTATACATTTAGCAAGAGGCAGTCATTATTTTAAAAATAAAGTACTTCCTATTCTTAGCGGCTGTGCAAAGAGTAGTCAGCTACTGTTGGCGGGATGAAATGACCGTATAAAGCTGTGAAGCCAGATCCAAACAACGTACTTTGGTACTAAAAATCAGACGCTACAGCGCCTAACTTGAGAGATGGGTGCCTGGTGTGGAATCCAAAAGTCCCCGTCTGGCCTCTGCTCTGCGCATGAGGCATTTGCCACCTCAGGAGGGGATCGAGAGCAGCAAATCAACACAAAGCATCCAGGACTAGCTGTTGCCCATCAGGAGCTGCATGACTTCCAGGAGTATTGCAGGAATACAAGCACACAGTCACAAGCACTATGAAGTTATTTGACAGAATTAAGAGTAAAAAGCACAGATTTACATTTTTATGACAAAGATCAATTCGTACACTTCAAGTATGTAAGAAAAACAAGTCTACAAAAAGGGGCGATATTTCATACTTACAGAATACGTTGACAGTCTGTTTCATGGCTGTGTTTCTTACAACATGTAACTGGAAAAAAAACGTATGCCACAGAAATGACCTGCTATAACCTCCTGGCAATCTGCTTCTAACACTGAAGAGCGCTACGTCTGTTACGTGGTGGACAACTCACGTATCTGCCAAAAGCAATGCTGCTTTGAGTTATGTGTGTACATTCACACAAACACACATCCCAGCTGAGGCATGGGGGGAGCAGAACATAGGCAAAGATGTGTCTTCTCTGCTTATCTAGCCTGGAGAAAGCATGGATCTGTTTGTGAGCTGGACCTAGCAACAGGCCCTGCCTGCTGTCTGTTCCTTAGGGGACACCAGCAACTCGAGTGGCCCACACTCCCCGAAAAGGCCTCCCGCTACCACCTGAACTGCTGCATTGTGATGGGGACGGGTAGGGCTCAAAGCATCCACCCTCTATGAACGCTGCCCGGTAAGCCTGCACAGGCAGCTGGGGAAGCAGGTGTCCCAAAGGCATCCCAAAACTCGGATCCAGTCTATACAGCTGACTAGGTCGGATCACCTTGAGATCAGCTAGGCAAGAGTCCAATCACGAAGGACAAGTAAGGTGTTCAGGGTAGGATCTGTGTAAAAACGGGTCAGCCTCAGAGTGGGTATGACAAGGCTTTATAAATGCAGAGGTTAAGAGGCAGAAAAACCCCCAAGCATTTACACGTGTCATCTTTCCACCAACATAACGGTTCAGGTCAGGTCCTCAGAAGGTGGTGATGGAAACCCTCGTGTATACAAACACCCCCCGCGCTTTGTGATTCACAGGCAAACCTAGGCTAAGTGCGAGGGGGTGAAATTCCATCGAAAACAAATCATGTAGCAGAACTGGTGTTGGCCTGACACTTACGATCATTAGAGTCTGGATTAAGTTCATCCTTGGCGCAATTTACTTTCTAATACAATGAAAGTTAATCTCTACGCATGTTCTCCAAATAGATGCCCCGATTTTACGTCCCTATGCAGCGCTCCGAGATAGTCCAAATAAAGCTTCTGAGCTTCATCTGCGCAAGGCCTCCAGAGTCACCGGTTTGCGATACACACAATGAAGAACAGAACTGAACCAGCAGGAACCCGGGGTGCTTCTGTGTGCTGTTTAGTCTTTTGGATCTGACTTACCATCATCAATTTAACTGAGTTTATGTTTCAGAACTTAAATACAGACGTTCTTTCTTGGCGTGTTTCGCAGTGACTACCCCTGCTTAAACTCAGTGTTTTGCTACTTCAAGAGTCTGGAGTGAGCAATCATGTTATTCCAGAATTCCATTCCTCAACATGTCACTTCTCTCCAGAGAAAGCCGCTGAAGATCCTTCCTAATATCAGGATGATTTTCCAGCTCTTCATACAATGACCGAACAATGTCCAGTTTCCTGTAGTCCACCGGTTTGACCAGACTGCGAACAACCTGGAGACATCTCTCTTTCAGGGTGAACACTGAGATTAAAGACAAACACACACACACGACCTCGTCACAAGGGCTGCTGCCTCAAACGTGGGGAGTGCTTCTCCAAGCACAGAATCACAGAATGGCAAGGGTTGGAAGGGACCTCGGGAGATCATCTAGTCCAACCCCCCTGCTAAAGCAGGCTCTCCTAGAGCAATCTACACAGGACTTCATCCAGGTGGGCCTTGAATATCTCCAGAGAAGGAGACTCCACAACCTCCCTGGGCAGCCCGTTCCAGTGCTCTGTCACCCTTAGAGTAAAGAAGTTTTTCCTCACATTCACCTGAAACCTCTTATGTTTCAGTTTGCACCCATTGCCCCTAGTCCTGTCGCAGGACACCACTGCAAACAGACTGCTTCCAGAACGGTAACACGTAGCAGCGTTACTCACAACACACTAAACTCACCAGGAAGAGAGGAAAATAACTCAGTGTTTTCTGCCGCGAGGCGCCCTGTGGAACTCAGAGACTGCTACAGACGAGAGGTCTGTCAACAGGGCTAAGTGACACCGTGCCGCAGCAGAGCGCTAAGTGACACCGTGCCGCGGCACAGCTCTAGCTAGAAACCCTCATGATCTCCGATTTCTGAGGTAGATTTTATTATCCGAGTGCTTGATTTCTCACTAGATCCTGAAGTCCCAAAAGGTCAAGTACAAAACCCCCTCAGTTTCCGCGGCTCACGCACGTTTACCTGGCAGCGTGATGTCTGCTTTATTCACATTGGGAGCCGCTACAAACAGCTCCTGCTGGTTGACGAGGAGCCCATCGTTTGTCCCCGCGTCCCGGAACAGCCAGAGGTGACCTGAGGAGAGACCAAGGTGCAAACACCGCAGTGAGGGTGCTTTTTAACGAGCGGTTTTGAAGGGCCCCCGTAAGGAACCCAACTCTCGTTTGGAGGCCACCGCCCCGGTTGACTGCGTGACTGGGGGACGGAGGAGGAAGAGGGGGAAGGAACACGGAAAGCAGCTCCAGCTTCCCGGAACTGCTGCGCCCCGAGCCGGGATGGCGGCGATTCACCCGGGGGACAACCCCGCCTGAAGAAATCCCTCCCGGTCCCGCGTAGCCGCCACCCACCCCGGTAGCTGTGCATGATCCTCCCGGTACGCGGTTGGAGAACGGGGTAATAACGCGGTCTGCCTTCGAAATCGACCCAAATCGGGAGAACGGAGCGGGGGCTGCGGTTGTTAAAAACCACTTCGGATAGTTCGCGGGTGTTAATGGAGCGCAGGCAGGGTCCCCCGACGCCGCTCTCCGGACCCGGACCCGGCGGCGACATCGCTCGGCCCGCTCCCCGTC